GGGGGAGGCCATTCCCCTCCGCTCCTCTGAGTCACTTGTTCTCACATCTCACGTCCGATCGGCAAGGAACATTTTCCTCATACCTTACTTGGGTCCTTCTGCTGCTTGCATACATTTGCCTCTGGTTCTGCTTCTCGGTTCGGAGAGACAAGAGTGAATCACAGAGCTCTGAGCAGTAACTTTTTTGAAAATGTTTTTTAAGTAATCTCTACACCCAACCTGGGGCTCGAACTTACTACACTGAGCTCAAGCGTTGCAGGCTCTACGGACCGAGCCAGCCAGGCGTACTGAGCAGTAACTCTTAGGAGATTTTTATTTCTTCTTCAGCAACATCACTGCACACATTATAAGGGGTGACTCTTAAAAACCACAAGACATGGAAGAAGCCAACTGCATTTCCCGGTTCCTGACTCATCCTGGCCAGCATGTAGCTGGATCCAGAACATTCGGCCTTCGGTTCTAATCAGAGTTCGTAAAGTGATGTCCTCCATGGCCAGATCAAAAGCCCTGGAGACAGGAGCCATCTTGTCCTCACTCATTTCCAGTGCCCCCTCTTGCAGAAACCTTCCCTTCCCCAAATCTTCTGGCTGGCAGAGCGTCCCCTCTGCAGAGCTTCGTCTCACTACAGTACTTGTCATGGCAACTGGAGTTCTAGGCTAACATATCTGTGTCCCCTACTAGACCACAGGCATCCTGCGGGCAGGGGCTGTGTCTTCATGACCTCTGTACTCGGGGTCAGGCCCCAATAGAGTGCCTGGCCCTTGACCAGTGGTTCTCAGCAGACTAAACATTCCAAGCATGTTCCAATGATGTCTGAACGTTGCATGGGCAGCTCTTCAAGCATAGCATGAACCCCTTCAACCTCCCTCCCATCCCCACCCCTCTATCCTTCTCACCTCTCTCCACCCCTAGCCCAGGAGCAGTCCCTCTAATAATTTCTCTAAGGATGGAAGCTCTGCAGCCAGGCCTCTTGGATTCAAATCCTGGCTCTCCCACCTTCTAGCCATGTGATCTTGGGCAAGTCATTTCACCTCTTTACATCTGTTTCTTGACTGCAAAAATAGATATCACATCTCATAGAGTCTTGTGAGAATGAAATTAGCTGATCCATGAGAAGCACTTGAAACAGGGGCTGACCCATAGTCAGTGCTCGGTGAGTGTTAAAATGACCATTTCCCCAATTCCTTCCTTCCGGAACCCTCCTCCGCACTGCAGCTTCCACTCCTGACTGCATCTTGGGCCTGTCCCCAACCCCATTAGACTCCCTTCCTCCAGGCCCACTTTCCCCTATTCCTCCAGAACGTTGATGCTCAACGTTAGCATCAACATAAAAGCTGTGCAACTCTTCTAACTTGTTACGAGCCTCTCCCCCACCCCCAACCCCCACCAGTTTACAGGGCAAAGTCTCCAAAGAGAAGGGAGAAGAGTTGGTTCCACAGCAGGGTTACAGATGATGCTGAGTCATTCTGCACCCAGCTGTGCTGCTTTCTTGTCACCCTTGACATTTCAGGCTCCCCGTCTCCCCATCACGCAGTCCCCTTTGCTCATAATTCAAAACCCTCACCCCACTCCATCGACCCCTTCTAAAGCCAGCCTCCGCCTCTACAGTCTTTACCAAAGATTTTCCTTAACAATAAGAAGTTTCAGAACATTAGCACCCATGTGCTGGAATATTAATAATTAATAATCGCTTCTGCACTAAGGACGTACACTACACTCTTTGGTATACAGGTTAGATCTCCTTCCACACTTTCTAAAGCTGAGAGACTGAAGCATTTACAAAATCAGAATGGAAGATGAAGGGCTGGGACTTTCACTGTAGATCCTACACTCTAAACTACTGGGCTTCAATGGGGAAGGGCTCAAAGGAGCCCCAATGGCCTCCTGGGGGAGGAGGTTAGAGGGAGCTGGAACTTTTTTCTCCCACCCATCATTCCTCAAAGACACTGGGTGCCACCGTCACAGAAATGAAAAGGTCATATTTTACAAGGGAGTTTATGTTTGCAGGCCCTGTTCTAGCATTTATCATTTATGACTGGTTTTAAAAATAAGAGTCCTCACCGCATGATTAGGAGTGCGTTATTCTGCTCTGACACACGGGAGGTGCTCCCCGGGAGGCTGCAAGCAGAGCTATCAGAGAGGCACGGAGTCAGCCACCACAGCCAGAATCCCAACTTCACCAACAGGTGCTGTCCATTGCAGCAGCGGACAGGCAAGTCCTGGCCACGGAGGAATGTGAATTTTTAGTTGCTGCCACAGGGCCCTTACATCTCACCAAGACAACCTCCAAGTCCCAAGTTCAGGGACTTGGACCACTGCCTCTCCAAGGCCCTCTATGGCTCTTACTTCCAGTAGGCCTAGAAGCCAACAAAAACGGAGGCCTCTCCTCCTCCAGGCCATCTTGTATAGTGAGGGGTGATCCCTGTCTGACTCCCAGCTTCCTGTCCCCAAGACTTTTGTCGCTTATTGCTGCAGGGTGGCGGGCGGGGGGATTGTCAATCAAGGCAGAGTAAAGGGAGGAAGCTCTCAAGGAGGACACAAGTGTGAGCACTACTATATACTGAATACTATGCAGGAGAGTTAAACAAAGCAAAATTCCCATGAGCTACTTCTGTATGGGGGTACTTGAGCCTAGGAAGGGCTTCCCAACACTGAAGCAGAGAAGTCAGAGATGGCAGATCTTACCAAAGGCTCTCCCATGTCCCCAGCAAATGCAGACACCACAAACCTGAGCAGCCAAACTCAGGAGCTCCGGCTAAGAAAGACAAGGCAGGCCACACTTCCTGGGGGTGCACTGGGATTGGTGACAACCATCTTCTCTGCTCCCACTTGCCTTTTAAATTAAAGTCCAGCGGATCTAAGGAAGCTGCAGTAACCAGCTCCCGGCCTTGAACAACTCTGCCCCAAAACCTCAGCAAGAGGAGGAGTGTTCTCACACTTACACTCCCTACTGCAGCTCTTTCTCCCACCTCACCCCCACTTCCCCAAGATAAGCCGGGGCTCTTAAAGTGCCTGGCTCCTACACCCAGTAGAAACACCAGAATATTCATCCCATACCCTAATCCTCATATTTGCCTCTAATTCAGTAGCACTGTGGCCCCAGCCCTGGCCCTTCCCACCACATAGCAAAATCAGCCCCTGGAAAAGCCCCCCACCCCACACATCTGCCTCCATCCTCTGGCTAACTGTAGGGATCTGGGGTCTGGTCCAGAGGTTCCCGGGTCTCTATGGCCACACGCCCAAAGTTGCATGAGAAGGTCATGAGAAAAGACCTCTTGGGAGGTCTGCTCATCGCACCCTGGGTTCTTCACTGACCGGCCACAAAGGAAGGAACTGTTCTGAACGGCCTATGCCGGACCAGACTGTGGATCGGGGTCTTGAAAGGGGTTCCAGTTCCACAGGGTACGGTAACATTCTGAGAGTGCCTACAGAATGTGTCCCTGCACGCATGTGTGCTTGAGGCAGGAGCAGTTGGCGCTTTCACCAGATTCTCAAAGGGGCCCACGACCCCAGCCTGTAGCCCCAAGGTCCCACCTTGTCATAGCATCGCTCCTAGGCCATCCTAGCTGGCCAAGGTCTCTCTCCTGTTTAAGGATGTGCCCAGGCCTGAGGCACCACTCCTGTTCCCTTGTCCTCTGCTCCTTCCAGGTGCAGAAAGGGGACACGAGTGTCTCTGACCCAACCGTCCTGCACACACCCTTCAGCCTCCGGGTGACCTGAGCCAGGTTTCTCTCTCTCTTCCAGAGAGGCCACCCTCTGTTCAGAATAGAGGTCCCACTTGATCCCACGAGGGGACCAAATCTTATGGTAAGAGGACTCCTCTATGAGAGAAGCCTGTGTCCCTCACCTCCTTCAGGTGGCCAGCCCGACCCAGGCTGTAAAGATGAGAATGCCTGCCAAAGAAAAGGGATGAGAGGCCAGAACATCTCCCTGAATCCTTTCTCCTGGACCAGGTGGCTCAGGGTGCTGCAGGATAACCAACAGGAAGGGTGATTTCCCACGCTCAGTGGCACTCCTGCTCAGGGGCCAGGTGGGGAGTGAGGTAGTCTCCTTGCATCCAGTGCCACCTCTGTGACATCTTATTTCTAAACTCCCAGTCATTCCCCTCACCCTCCACTCTCACCCAATCAATCAATCAATCAATCAATATTAAGGGAAACTCTAAAACCTCCTTCCCCCTAAAACAAATTCCTCTCCGGGAATTTATTTTCCATATAAATTTCCTGCAGCCCAAACTTCTTTTAAGGGGAAAAGAAATGGCCAAGACTGGGCTGGGTGTAAGGCAACAATGCAAGGAGAAACTGAAGAGGAACGAATGAATAAACGCCATCACCAGCCCCCTGGAGCTTAGAGCCCCGGGCACACCGAGCCGGAGGGGCGGGGGAACAGGGGCGGGGACAGCGCGTTCTGAACTTTCCCTAGCGAGCCACCGGGAGATGCAGCTCCCAGGGGACCGGGTGGGACCAGAAAGGGCTGAACCAACCTGTGACACCGGCGGGGACAGGAAGCCAGCCTCCCCTCCTCCTAGAAGGAGCTCTGCCCCCGGCAGGCGCCCCCCACCAGCCAGCGCCCCCAGGCCGGAGCAGCGCTGCGAGGGGCGCCCACACAAAAGGGGGAGCGGCCGGGGCGGGGGCTCAGGGCGGCGCCGGCCGGGGGAGGCCTTGCTACCCTTCCCCGCGCCGCCCGCCGGCCTGCGACCACCCCCCTACCTCCGAGCCGGGCTCCCCACCCCACCCCCCGTGCCCGCCCGGCTCGCGCACCCACGGCCTGGGCGAAGAGGGTGGGAGTCGAGGGGAGGGGGCGAGGGCCGGGACCCCGCCGCGGGTGCGCCCGGGGCGGTGCGGGCTCCGTGGGAGCCGCGGCGGCAGCGCCGGGAATCAAACTCGCGCCCGCCCGGCCCTCCCGGCGGCGCCGCGGCGATCTGCTCCCGAGAAGGTGGGGCCGCCGGGCCGGGCCGGGCCGGAGGCGGCTCGCGCTGGGGAGCGAAGGGAGGGTCTTACCGAGTAGCCGCCACGCGCGTCCGCTCCCCGCGGGCTCGAGGGGCCGGCGGGCGGGGGAGGGGCCGCGATCCGGCGGTGGTGGCGGCGGTGGCGGCGGCGGGCCCGGCGCGGCGGCGCGGCTGGGGCGCGGGAGGCGGAGAATGCGAGGCGAGGCCAGCTTCCTAGCGGCGGGCGGCGAGAAATGCAGCTGTCCCTGCGCGGCCGCCGGCGGGGCCACAAGTGGGGCCGCGCGGGGAGGAGCGGGGCCGCGGGCGGGGCGCGGGCCGGGCCGCGGCGCCCCCAGACCCGCTCCGAGGCCCGACCCCCTCCGAGAGAGGAGGGGAGCGGGAATGGGGTGGAGGAAGCCGGAGGAAGCGGGCCCGGGGCGGGGGGGGCACACCAGGGGAGAGTTAGAAAGGTTCCCCCCTCACCGTGTTCCCCTCCGCGCCGGCCGCCGTGAGTCCCCGCTGGCGGGCCGGAGCGAGTGAGAGAGGAGCCTCGGTCTCCCCGCACAGGGCGGATTGCGGGGCGTCCTGCCTCTCCCTCCCTCCTTGCTTGGGGACCGGCGCCGGGAAGGCGACCCCGGAGATGGGGAGCGGGGACCCGAGCCCTCGACTCGGAGAGGAACCTAAGAGCTGGGCCGCTCCCCCCCCCCCCCCCCCCCCCCCCCCCCGGTGCGAAGTGCAGTCGCACCTTTGGGCCCAGGACGGCTGGGGTGTGGGGGAGGGGCAGCCCCTGGGAGTCAGGGTTCCGGAAAGGAAACCCAACGCGGAGGTCAGAGGAGATGGTGAGGAGGGGATCAGGAGACCGAAGGTGTTACCCATCACACACCATCAGATCCCTCCTGCTATGTCCCAAGCTCCTCCTGGCATCCCCGGTTACTTCGGGGGCTCCTGAGCCCCGAGATTTTCCACAGAAAAACTTGTTCAATAAATGGGAAATCAACTTTATTCTTTTTCCACGTGGTTTGCTTTCAGACTCCCAATTTGAGGGTAGGAAGGGTGGGGCAGGTGGGGACAGCCCAGCGGCCTGCACTGAAGAGGCCCTCCCTGGGAGCTCTGAAGAGGTACAGTTCCGGGTCTGCACCCTCCTCTGAGACAAGCGGGCCTTAGAGGCCCACTTCCCATCTGGGCCCAGACTCCAGGGAATACCCCCCCCCTTCTCTTGAGGGCTTGCCGTCTCCTAGCTCTGCGGAGACAGATCAGCTTGCTCAGCCGCAAAGACATCTGATGGTAAAAACCACAAACCAAAGTGCCCCAGTCACCGTGTGTTTCCATCATTTGCATGTCAAGGGAAAGTTTCTTTAGCGAGTTGGGAACCTGGGAGTGGGGGGAAACCTCAGCCACACCCTCCCTGGGGAGGTTCCACATCAGGTTACCTGATGCGCACAGCTCTAGAACTAGGTTCCCAGACCCTCTGAGGATCTCCAGTCTCCTCCCACACTCTTCTCATGCTCCTTCACTTGGAGATACATTGATTTCGGGGGTGGGGCCTTGAAACCCCAGGAGGTAGTCCCTAGACCCCAGGTTAAAGATCCTTAATCTAGACAGACTGATTCATGCCTCTATGCTGATTCCTGGCTGCGGTCCTGAAGTTGTGACTGGGGGCTTGGGGCTGACCCTTCTTGCCAGTCTTCTAGATCAAGTCATTGCAGGTGTTACCTCACTCCCGCCCACCGCACAGTTCATCTGCCCCTTTTCTGCTTACTTGCGGGATCCTTCTGCAGTTCCTCCCTGTCACCTTGGCATTTCAGAGCCTGCAAAATGCATGGGCAAACTTGGAGATACCCCTCTTTGCATTCCCCTCTGCGTATCCATAAAATCTTTTAATGTATTATTAATAGAGTCATCAAATGAAACCAGTCACTTGAATGGATGTTCTTCCTTGAAGGCCACTTTTTGGGCATTGCTAACCTACTCTTCTGTTCAGGGCTGTCTTCCTGGAAACTTTTCCTCAGTCCCCTCCCCCGCCACTCACAAGCCCCTTGGGTAAACTCCCTCACTCCCGCCACTGCCTCTGAGCTGTGAGTTCCCCAGGGTTCCCAGGCCAGGCCTTCAGGTCCCCTGGACATCTCACAAGGAGGAGTCTGGAATCCAGCTCAGAGCTCTTCCCTCACCAAGCCTGCTCCTCTTCCTCTGGCTTGGCAGCTGGAAACCTCAGTCCTCAGTTTCCTTTGACCTACATTCTATTGACTATCTTATTCCCCAGCTTCTGCCCTGGGTCAGGCAGAATGAGTCTAAGCTCATCTCAGAGGATGAGATGTCCCTGCACTTTCAAGCCCAACCCTCCTGCTCCAGGAGACTCCACCAGGTCTTTCTTTCTCCCCTTCTGTCTGTTTCATACCTACAAACCTGAAGGATGCCCCCTTTTTAAGAAGCCCTTTACCTGATCCTGCCCTGCCCTGCCCTCAGGCCACACCCTGGTTCTCTCTTTCCCATTCCTCGATAGACTTCCTCTAAAAAGAAACCAGACATACTCTGTCTGATTCCTCAGCCCCCCTGGATCCTGTAGTCTGACCTCTTCCCCCAGCATTCTGGGGACAGACAGCTCTCAGCAGGGGGCACCAACCAGCCCTCCCCCCAGTCATTTCCACCCAGGGCCTCCTCCCTGCCCCATTCTACCCCCTTGCAACCCTCCATGCCCTTGAAATTTTTTTCCTACCAGCTCCTGCCTTTCTTTGGCTCTGCCTACTCCAAGAGCTTCTCCGGGGCACAATCCTCTTTAGTTTCCCTGAGATTCCACTGTTCCACTTGCTTGCTGCATGTCTCCAGGGCAGTTACTGAACTTTCTTTGTGCCTCCATTTCCTACCTTATATTTGGAGCTCACAACAGTGCCTACCTCAAAAGATTGTGGTGAGAATGAAACCAGTCCACACGTGGAGTGCCCAGAACACTGCCTGACACATGGAATGTTCTATAACGGATAGCATCGTCGTTACTGATAATGGCATTAAGGCATCTGCTGTCAGCCATCTGTGGTGCTGTCCCCTTCCAGTACCAGCTCCCTCTCCTGAGCTCCTGACTGGAATGCATGGCTGCCATGGACAGGCTGGCCCAGAGCCACCTCACCTCCAGCATGGCAAGCCTGGAACCCATGACCTCCACATCCACCTTTGCCAGTTGCCTGAAGGTGGGCACCTCCCATTCATTTGAGTTACCAACCTCACAGGCTGCCTTTCTCCTCTCCTGCTTTAAACCCCTGAGTAAATTCAGGGCCTTCTACTTCCTTAATTTCTCTGGAATCTGCCCCCACCCTTGCCTTCCAATCCATCCCCTCCAGTGCACTTATCTGCTAAAGCCGAGACTGCCCATGTCTCTGTCTTGTTGAAAGACATGGATGACACTCCGTGGCTTGGAGAATAAAATCTAAATTCATTCAAGAGGCCCTTCCCAGTCCTCACCCTCTCCCCCCATGCTAGAACAGTCAAGGCCACTTGCTATTCCCACAGAGGAAATGGGAAAGTGAGGAAAGCTTCTGGCCAAGTCTGTGGCTATATTAAGCACAGATAAAATGGAGGTGTGTCTGCCATGTCCCACGTCTGCCATGAGGCTGAGGCTGCTGGAGAGCTGTGTGGCTCAAGCTTGGAGACAGCGGCTCTCAGCTGTCTCCGGACCCCAGGGAAAACAGGACATTTCCCTCCTGGGACTCCCGCAGCCCCACACAAATGCTGGGGCACACATCGTGGACAAGAACACGTGGCTGTGGCTGTGGAAACAACCACATTGTCTCAGCCACCAAGAGACCCTCTCCTTTTATAATCACCAAAAGCTGCTTAATCAGGCCAGAGGTAGAAAAGAAAGTGGTGTAAACATCCAGATAATTTGGGTAATCCTATCCTTTTCTCCATCTTCACGGATCTGACCAAGAAACTCAGAGGAGTAACAGTGGTAACACATGGGAATTTTGAAAAAACACATGGGTGAAACATGGGAACAGTGGAAACATTTTTTACTTTAAAAGAATGCGGAAACAACCCCCTCCCAGGATGGTAACTAGATGAATGCCTGTGGGATTGACTTCTCAGTCTGACTTCATCTGAGAGAAGGACCCCCGGGCTCCTCACCCCTTTCCCAGAGCCCCAGCACGAATGCCATGCCTCTAGCACTTTCTGAGAACCTTCCTTCCCTTACATAGCGAACCACTTCCTGGGTGTCCCTCTGCCCCTCCTACTGGGTTGGGGTATTATAGTTACTCTCCACATGAGCTCCTGGGAGGCAGGGGGTGTCTTCTGTCTCAGTCACTGCACCTCCCAGTCTGGCAGACCCCATGAGCTGAGTCCGGATCTTCCTCAACTTATAGTGGAGTTCCATCCAATAAATGCATCATAAATTGAAATTGTCCTAAGTCAAAAACGCATTGAATACATAGAAACTACTGAGTTGCCCTAACTGTGCTCAGAACACTGACTTCAGCCTCCAACTGGGCAAAGTCACCTTCCCCAAAGCCTACTTGATAATCAAGTGTTGACTATGTCATGTAGTTGATTGAATACTGTGCTGAAAGTGAAAAACAGAATGGTTGTGTGGGTACACAATGGTGATTGGTACATTTCAGTTGTGACTCTCTCAATCTTGGGGCTGGCTGGGAGCTGGGTCCTGCTGCCTCGTATCACAGGAAAGCATTGCACCACGTCTCGCTAGCCCGGGAAAAGATCCAAATTCACAATTCAAATTACAGTTTCTACTGCATGCCTATGGTCTTTGCACCATCATAAGTTGAAACATCACAAGCTGGACCATCGAAAGTCAGGGGCTTTCTGTGAGTATTTGCTGAAGGACAGACCTCTGACAGGTGGGTGAGATGCGTCTGGCTTGCCCTTACAAACACCTGTCTTCTCTTCACTGATACCAGTTTGTAAGGTTCCAGGGGTCCTGCCCTCCTATCCAGCAGCTGCCAGCTTATCCTCTACAAGGCAGTGGGATGGAAATCGGGCATACATAAATGGAATTACAGGTAACCATTAAGATTATTTGTAAAGAATATTTAGTGTCTATAAAGATGCTCATGAGGGGCGCCTGGGTGGCTCAGTCAGTTAAGCGTCTGCCTTTGGGTCAGGTCATGATCCCAGGGTGCTGGGATTGAGCCCCACATCAAGTTTCCTGCTCAGCAGGGA